AAAAACAAAGGTGATGAAGAAGGCGTGGGCGACGGCGATTGCTAAAGCAAAGGCGAGGGCAAAGTCAACTGATAAGACAGAAGCGACAACGAAAGTGAAGGCAGCGACGAAAACGAGGGCGACAGCGACGGCGAAAGAGAACTGTGCACGGTGCACAAAGGACTTGCACGAGTCTGTCGGTGAACAGTGGACTGGCCTCAAAGTGGCGGCCAAGCGGTGAAGGGCTCCGAAGTGGTGGGATCGGAAGGAGTAGACGTTCATACCCGCTCGGCGAATTGCGGCCTCCATGAATGGCCCAACCCGCGTCCGGTTGGTCGGTGCTGATGCCGACAGACTGGCAAGCCCCTCCCGTCTCCTCGCAACCGTTGCGGCCAGATCGTGTGCCGCGCCCAGCCGCGAGCACAGTCTCGAGCTCGACGGGACTCGGACCAGGTCACTGTCGACACGAACGGCGACTGGTCTGTCAAAGGGAAGAGTCCCAATCTGTCAGAGACAACAATCCAGATTAGTTGAATCTGCTAGATTGGGGCTCGTCCCCAGCCAGCCTCATGTCTTTCCGTGACACGTAACAACGTCGGTGTCTCTCTTTGATCCGTCAGGTCGGTCTCGTCGGCCCAACAGAACGGTTTGTGGAAAAACTGTATCTCGAAAAATTACTTTATGGGCTGAGGCTTTCAAGTGGCTTTTAGTTCGTTTGAGAAAGCATTCGTCAATTGGTCTCCTCCAACACCGCAGGAGGGTTGTCTTGGACTCGTGACTGCTGAATTGCGCGAAGAAGACCTCCGATGACATCGTCACAGACAGAAACCATTATTGCAAACCGGTTCACCTTCATGACATGCATTTGCTTGCAAGAGGCGAATGGAAGAGATTGGTGTCAATTCGAAAGTGGTCGTCTTGGAGATGTGAGGCTAGATTTTCGCGAACGAACCCTCGCCACACCGTCATGCGCCCTCTATGAATCCGTGTAGCATGTTCGTCCATCACCGGATGGATACCATACTTAAGGAATGTGCTTGATGAATTACATGATGGACGAAACGGTGAGGGATCGTTCCAAGACGATCCCCTCCGACTTGGGGTGCGATCAACTCACGAACCCCTTCTCCTCGGCTCGTCAAAAGAAATGAGAAGTAGAAGTTGTTTGACATTGTCTTCGCCAATTGGTCACATTGACAGGAAGATGCAGAGGAACGCAGCTGTCCAGAGTCCATGCTAGGCATGATCACTTCCAGACTCGGACCGTCGGTGTGGTACATTCGCGCACGTTTCTTCGTTTCATTTGACCAATTGTCTGCCGAACAGTCGTGCTGTCTCCTCTTCTCTGCTGGCCCATTCACGTGCTCCGAATGCATTTGGGATTGTTGCAAACGTTATTCCATCGCTCCCGGATTCGGCAGCCAAATGAGCAGGTGTCATTGGCCTCGGTTCACAAATTAGCCGACTGTGGCGAGACGGAGAGGAGTAGGCCATTTAACGTTAATAAATTGGCTTTTTGTGTCGCCAGTAAATCACTTTATTAGATTTATTCATTGTTAGGGCGACCTTCATGCAGGTCCCCTTAACAATGTTATCTCAGGAGATCCATCGAAACCAAGTTTCTCTTAGATTTATTCACTTTTCCAACAATCACACGTTTCCATTCGATTTCACATCTGCACCCCGAACTTGCCTTGAACCATGAAGGTTCAGCGTTTCGTCTCGACATGTTACACACTACGCCACATTGCCACTGGGTTAAAGGGAATTTCAAAGAAAGCCAACCCTTTTGCTATATCATATTTCATACAACCGATTTACTGGCAGTCTCAAGAACCTACTTATAGACAACAAATAAGCAACGTAGCCGATTGCTGTGGAAAATGCAACGTTGCCACATGAAATGTTCCACCGCAGAATGTTGTATGCAAAATTGGAATCCACATCTGCCTTGTGGCAATGAGGCGGAGTGTGTAACGTGTCGAGACGAAACGCTGAAGCGTCATGGTTCGAGTCTCGCTGGAGGTGCGGACGACACGAATTCAGGCGGGCTTGAAACTGCCATCCATTATTGCCTGAATGAGAATACCCTTTGTGGGAAAATTCAACCATCATGCCTTCATCATTGCAGGTGAGCTATTCAAGTTAATGAATATTAAGTCTAGATTTAAGAAGAAGCTAGGATCTAGTTTCAAAAACTGCACAGAAGTCACAGAATGTCCATCATTTGACAAATAAAAAGTGTGACAGGAAATTGTTTGCTTCTTGTCGGTCATATCGTGACGTTTTTTAAAATCATACAAAGTGAGAACCCCACCTACATCCTTCCTAAATCTAGACATAATGTGTATGCATTTAATAAGCTGGCGCTTTTCAGTCTCGCAAATTTCTGCGTAATCCAATAGTTCATCAACCGTGTCTGAATGACATCTGCTCGTTTGGTGGCAGAACCCGGGAACGATGGCATGACGTTTGCAACATCGCCAAATGGATTTGGAACATGTGAATAGGCCAGAATTGAAGAGGAGACAGGACAACTG